GAAAGAAAGAGAGAAACAGGAACAAAGAGCAGATGAAAAGCAGAAAACAAATAGCTGGGAATTTTTACTGACCTATAATAATTACATTACTATTTAATGGTGTACTCGCTCCAATTAAAAGTCAGATATTAGACTTAATATAAAAAAGAACAAGAACTAACTACATGTTGTCTACAGGAAAGACATTTTAAAAATAAAGACACATGTTAAAAGTGAAGGAATGAAAAAAGGTATACTGTGCAAACACTAATAAGAATGATTAGTAAAAGTATACTATAGGACAAGAAACATTAACAGGAGAAAGGAAAAATATTGTATAAGAATAAGGGCCCATTAATCAAAAAGACATAACAATCCCCAATGTCTAAATAAAGATATGCTTCAATTACAGAACTTCAAAATTTTCAAAGAAAAAAACTGACAGAAATGAAAAGAGAAACAGATAATTCCTCAGTTTAGATTACATATTTTGACACTTTTTTTAGTAATTAATAAAACAAGTATACAGAAAATCAGTATGGATACAGAAGACTCGAACAACATTATCTACCAACTTAAAATACTTTATAAGCCAGAAATACATGGGTTATGGAATATATTGTGAGCTGAATAATAATAAAAACAGAATAAAGTCTGTGGGACATAGCTAAAGCAGTGCTTAGAGAGAAATTTCTAACTATAAATATTTATTAGAAAAATTAAAAGTTTAAGATCAATTTTTAAGAGTCATCCTCAAGGAACTAGAAAAAGAAGAGTAAATTAAATCCAGATGTCTTTTGCTTTATTTCTCTTCCGTACTTGGAAATAATAATGAAGCTTGTAATTGGGTTGAGACAATGAGGCGGGGAAAAGAATCAGGAAAAGAGATAATTCTGGATCTTTCCACCCCTATTCCTAATCCCCTATCGAAGTTATCTGTTTTTATAGGCAAAGTAAGCTGTTTGAGTTACTTTCATATTTCACATTATTTTATAAATAAATCACGTTATTTATAAAATATTTTGAAGAGCATACTTAGTTTACCACAAGTATTTTGAAGAGCGAACTTAGTTTACCATGAATTCTTATTTTTGTAAGTGTGTTAGAACTTTTAACATAGTTTTTGATACATTATTATGTTAAAATGAAGTGGGTTCATAATTATAATTAAAATATTTAATTTTTAGAGAAAATAAAAAGTAGTTATTGACATTCTTATAAGAATAATTTTAATGATAATGAAAACATTACCCTAGTTTGTAAAATTGAAATTCATAACATTATTTTATAAATTGATGTAATTGATACACATATATTGTTTTCCTTGCAGATTATCCAAAGAGGAGTGGTAGGAAAAAGACAACATTGCAAAAAGGTGAACATTCATTTGTGTGCTCATTAGTAAAATTCATGTAAGGCACTTACGAATTTAATTCTTAGGTTTTTCTGATGCAGGGTTCATTATAAATCCATGTGATCTTTGAAATGGTTTCTGTAGATGTAATGACAAATTAGAAAAAAAATGCATAATATTTGGTAGTGAAGGTTTTAAGCGCTGTATTAACTCTCATTCTATTTTGTATTAGATCAGTAACAACCCAGGGCCACACACATGCTATTTTAACACCTCCCAAATAGTAATTTAGACGTTGCTTGTCTTACTTTAGTTCTCTGATCTCTAATCCCTTGATAAGTTCAGCATTGTGTGGCTTTAGCAAATTTCATCCAATATTACCCTGAATAGATACATGTCTTTGAGTTGTCAACAATCATGAGCAAAAGCAGAGGTATTTAACAATAAACAATTGCTTTTGTCAATATTATTTAGTGTTTTAAATCAGATTCAATACAAATGTTACTTTATCTGCATAATAAGGGGCATGGGTTTTTTTGTTTGTTTGTTTTTGTTTTTGAAAATTTAAGATAATTGCTAAATATGCAACTTCAAATAAGTTAGTAGTGAAAATCATGTAACTTGTGTAAATTGGAATGTAGCTAAAAGTATGCATTCTATGTTACTTAGTTTTAACTTGGCATCAATTTAGAGCAAGGATTGTGTATGCACATTCAATATGAATTTACTTTATTTATTTGAGGAATATGGGGCATGAATTTCTTGATTTGTAACCCTAAATATTTTAAACTATCGGCCTACTCAGAAATATTTTGCAAGTGTGCAATTTCAACTTTGTCCCAAAATAAATTTATGTCCTAGAATGGGGCCTCATATAAATAATAGCAACTTCCAGATGTAGAATTTTTTAATTATACTTTTCAGCATAATTTGTTACTGTTTTATGTTGTTTATGTGCAAGAATTTTACCTATCCCCTTTTGTTGAATGTAGAATTCTTATATCCTTAAGATGATTTAAAATTTCCTAAGAAATATGTACTAAGACCAAAACAAATCCAAATGATAATAACTGAATATATTCTTTCTCTTACAAAAGAGTATTATACGAATTAAAGAACTGGGTTTTTTTCTTGTCCCAATAATAAGCTTATCTACAAATTGTTATTATGGGAATAATAATAACATTCATCTTGAAAAACAAGAGGCAATAAATAATAAAATAACTTTCAAATTGGTACTTTGAGAAGTTATAGAAAATAGATATTTTTACACCATATTAAAGTAGGTTGTTTTATTTAATAACAATTTTTCATTGAAGATCATTTTTTCTGCAGATTTGTAATTGTTGCAGAAATTATCATTATTAAGTACATGCTTTTTTTTTTATAGTAAAACACTTGTGATAGAACAGCCAATTACTTTAAGATGTAAAAGGATACTACGGATCATTTTTGCCACTATGGTGCCATAGTTACTGGGAGAAAAATGAAGAAATTGAAGCTTTCTCCACCCAAAATCTAAGCCCAAAGTCTTGAGATCATAATATTTTAAAAATAAGTTTAATTCTCTTATTTACAGAGTAGATGAAGTTGGAATGTGGATCACAGTAGCACAACTTCTGTGACAGCTGTGTTTAGCCTTGTTTGGACCACTAACAAAGAATGAGTATTAGACTTTCTCAAAAGCCTCTCCGATCCCTGAATATGTATTTCCTTTCAGCCTTTGCACTGTTGGAATCATTCCAATAACTGAAAGAAAATAAGAAACACAGTGGTGGGGATGTCATACCTTACATAGATATTAATTCCAGCATAAGAATTCAGGAACTTCTAAGAATAGCCATGAAAAGCTTCCATACCCCTCAAAATTTCTCCAATTTTTTTTTCATTGAAATTATTCTTATTGATGGAATACATTAATTACACTTTTCCCCTAATAAGAACCCCCACACCTAAAAATATGAAATATTTGTAAATCTTTCCTAAATGTGGATACACATAGCTTAATAAAAATAATTAAACCGGATTTTTGCCATATTTTATCCTTCCAAACCTAGGGTAAAATAACCCAATATTTTTTATTCTCTCAAATCATGAACTAGTTAATGCCCTGCTAATTTATTACAAGAAATTTAGAACTTGAAATTTCGTAGCAATGGTGTGCGATAATTGCATCTTCCCTATTCTAAATATTATAATAAATATAATAAATAACTTTAATATCATACAGCTATGGATAAAGAAATATTTTTACCTTTTATCTTTAACTTTTTCATGTTTACTCCTTAAATAACTTTAACATAACCATTTATTTATAAATTTAATAAAAATAATGAAACTATTCACAAAAAAGAATATTGCTTTCTAATACTTTTATAATTTCTAGAAAAGCCAGATTTCTGCTTTTTGGAAGAAGATGCTGGAATCTGTAGAGGTTATATTACTAGGTATTTTTATAACAATCAGTCAAGGCAGTGTGAACAGTTCAAGTACGGTGGGTGCCTTGGCAATCTAAACAACTTTGAATCTTTGGAAGAATGCAAGAACACCTGTGAGGATACATGTAAGTTTATTTCTCTTCTCATTTTACTTCATTTATAGGCATTTTTTAAAAAATAAAGCATCTTACAGGATGGTCAGGTTTACATACATTTTGTTTTAGCCATACAAATGAAGGTACATTTGTATTTATTAAATCTGATAGAAATTAGTCACTGTGTTCATTTTTTTTTTAAAGCAGATATTTAAGAAATCTAACTATAGTGAAAATTGTTTCCATAGATCTGACTCTGTATTTTTTAGGTTTCATTATTTAATATTCCTTCCTGAGAACACTGTAGTATAATTTAGGTACAAGAGTAGGACTATTGAAATCCTTAAGTTTATAACAATTTGTGGGCAAATAGTTTTTTGGAACATACCACCTAAAATCAATGTTTTATCTGACTATAAAATTTATTAAAGGAGTGACTTAAACATTAACTATTATCCTTTTTTTGATTAAGAACCACAGTTACTCATGGAAATATTACACATACACATACATGTATACATATATGTGTGTATGCACATATATAGTTTCTGTTCACTAATTTAACATAATAATGTGAATAAAATTTCTAGAAGTCTACTTGTCTTAACCAAACGACTATGCTTTGCTTTTGTATGTAATTATTAGCTTGTGACAGTGTCTCATATTTTACTTGGCTGTATATTTTCAGTGAATGATTTCCAGGTGGATGATTATAGAACCCAGCTTGATTCTGTGAATAATGACTCCTTGACTCCCCAGCCTACCAAACTTTCCAGCTTTTTGGGTAAGAATCTCATTTAAAAAAAATTGCTTCCAGAAAAAATATTATCAGGGCAACAATAAAAGTAGAATGTATATTAGAACTATGCTTTAAAGAAATTCTATTTTGTTGTTTAATAATAGATGTGCTGAATCACTGAGATTCAAAAAATGTAAGACATTTAATCCCATAAAATAGTTTTCCTAATCTATTTTAAAGTATGCTTTGAAGTAGGTCTTTGATTACATATCACATGAAATATTTCATGTGATATTTAACTCTATGCCAAATTTATTTTGTAAAATAATGTTATGAATTATCATCCTCAGTGTCTGAGAGTAAATCACTGTAATGGCAGCAGTTTGTCAAAGGCAGTCTGAAGTGCTCTTAAATTGAGCACAGCATTGGACAAGGTCTCTGAGTTAGTTATAGGACGATTCGAAATTTGTTGAATAACCATCTCCGGAGGTTATGTCACCCTGAAGAGAATTTTCTTTTGGACTTCTGCAGAACTCTTTTCTGGGCTCAATCCTGTAACATATTATTCAAATTTTAACAATCACATAGGAAATATGCCCACAAAATTATAGCTCTGGGAAAATAGTAAAAATACTGGAAAATATAAGCAGAAACCACAAATATCCTGGCAATTAAAAACAACCTGAAAAGCTAAAAATTAACAGGATAAATGTAAGGTCCTACCTAAATTAAAAAAAAAAAAAAGTCACGTGTTTTCATTCAGGAATTGGAGATTTTGCTTAGAAATAGACCATGTGAAAGTGTTAGATGTAAACTTGGCATGAGTTGAAAGCTTTCTGCGGCTATTAAAATTGCAATCTGTGGGTAAAAAGAGACATAGTGTCTGGGCCAGGGGTTCTCATCCTAGCCATGTGTTAGAGTGAGATGGAGTTCAGAATCAAAATGTCTTTGAGCATCTCTCTTTACAAGCAGAAAATAAGCAAGCAAGCAAACAGAAAACAAAACAAAACAAACCTCTGTCCAGGTGGATCTAAAGCACTGCAAATTGTTGACTAGAACTTATTCTTGAATGAGGGTTGTAAATGTCTAGCTCAGTCCCACACTGACCTGATCGTGTCGGTGGAATTTACTTCAGCCCCGAATGCCATAGCTTAGAAGTTACACAGAGAACTGGAAACATGTTAATAGAATGACTGGAAAGTGTAAGGAGACATGACAATCAAGAGCGAACATCATATACTCTCTCAGTACTTCAAACGTTGTCATGTGTAAGAATTAAGTTCTGTACAGTCATCACTCTCAGTCCTCTCCATTTCAACCCCGACCCCACCCTGCATCTCAATCCTTTCTTCTCTTCCCCAGCTCAGCCTAAGAATCAGGATCAATGCATGTAATCTAAAGTATAAATTTCTTTCTATAAAGTATTTATTTTTAATGTGAGATCTTAAAAAATGAATGGGTGCCTCAGGGATTAAATACTCTAAGTTGTAGTTATTTAAGCAGTGTTCTAACAGCACTTGAGATGTTATAAAGAGCATGCAAAATTTCAGTGGGAGTTGGACAATATAGCATATTCAAAATGTCTTGAGCTCCTTAGAATCTATAATGAGGGCAGTGAATTCAATACCAGATGAATCTGACTTTAATTATTAAACTTTGTAATAATAATAATAATGATGATGATGATAAGTATCATTGTAGTTTTTATTTATCTCTAAAATTAAGTAATTTCATTGCTTTGTTTCTTTGTGTCCTTTCAGCCCTGTGTTTTTCATTGACATTTTGTTTTATCCAGTTAAATATCACATGTTGAAATGCATCCTAAATCTTATTGCTGTGAAAGATGTAAAGTTCAAAATGACAAACATATTAATGGGTTTAAAGTATATTTGATACAGTATATATACAAATAAAAGAAATATGAAATCAGCTTTCAATACGTTTCAATATTTTTTGTGTGGGTTACTTTGCTAATTCAAATGGAGAGCTTCAGTCTTTATCATTAAAATGAGTAGAGTAGGTTAGGAAATAATTTTGCCTTGAAATTTTATAAAGCATTGTATAAAGATTATGATTTTGGGTGCAGGTACACTACCAACATAGAAAGGGGAAATAAAGAAAATAAGTGTGAGAAAGTAAATGAGTTTTAAATACTGACAAATGCCCACTCTAAGTTTCTATGTGTATGCACACTAAAAATGCAATAAATAAATTAATGGTTATAAGTGTAAATGATCAAGGAAGCAGTAAAAATTCACATGAATTTAAAAGGAAATAATATTAAGATGATTTTTATTTAAAATAATAGACATTTAAGAGATAATTCTTTTGTAGTAACTTTATATAAAATCAGAAATATGGTCTCCTTTATTTGTCTAGAACTATTTTATCATTTATTATACATATTTGCTTAAAATCTAAATTCCTCTAGCCAATTTAATCTCTTTTTCTCTTTCTCTGTAAGCATATATTTTCCTTTGTTTTGTAACCTAATTTAAAACATGAAATAATGTTGCAATAACTTCAATGAGAAGTTTGATTGGAAGGGTAGCTTAGAAGGTAAAAGGTGACAATAAAGCTTTGCCTCCATTCTTCCTATAACCTTCAGGATTCCTTGTCTGTCCCATCCGAGGTGCAGAAGGTGAGAATGAAACTATCATTCTCTGCTATCTAAGACCTAGGTGATGTCTTCTCAATGCTGTCAAGCAGCAGAATGTAGGAAGGCAATTATGCCCCCACACTTTCTATACCTAGATTAGTCCTCTACTTTGTCGAAGGGCTTTGGTCTATAAATGCACTTTTGATATTCCAGCTCTAAAATGATTACATCTGTCACTGCATACAATTATATTAATGTTCTATTAAAATTAAAAAATATACAGTTCTATATTTCTGTAAAAGCTTGTTCCAAGTTTTAGTAAATGTGTAAGGTTCTCTGTGGATATTAGGTTTTTTTGGAATGATATAATCCTTTAAGGTTTAGATTAGTTTACAGGAGTAATAATGCAACCCAAATACAAATAGAATAGCATTCGTTTAAATTTTTCCATTAAACAATAATCCTTATGTAGAGTATTTGAATAATTTGAATATTCCAAAAATATAGCTAAATTGCATTACTATTAAGTGAAATATCTATAAATATTTAATGTTTCTCTTTATCATGACACTAGAAAAGCATTTTAGCAGTTCTGTTCAATGTTACTAGAAAATGATTTGGTAATTCTTTTTTAATTGCTATTTATTCTTAACTGCCATAATATTGCAAATGAGTTTGAGAATTTTTTTTCCCAGTGAGCCCTCTTGACTCAAGAAAGTTGAATGCTTATAAGCACAACTAAGCTTTAATTTTCTCCTTTTATTTCCATGTTTTAATATTAATAGGCTACTTACGTGACCTCAAAGATTGAGCCTCTTTCTTAAAGAGATTTTTATAAAATGTTTTGTTAAGTATATCATTGTGCACAGATAAAAACAAGTTATTTGAGTTGAGAATACTGGCATGCAGAAGTATCATGGGGATTCAAAGGCAAAAGAGTTTTATTTGTATAATTTTTCTTTATCTTCATATTTTCAGCTTTCCAAACTTTCAGAATTTTGTCACCATTTTCTCAATTATTCCAGAATAGCACTTGGTAATCTCCTTTGATCACTTTTCTTCTAGTGAGTCATTAAATTCTATTGCTTTTATCAATGAAATGTCCATTTCTATCTTTTTAATTTTCAGTTGTACCTGTTTCATTCAGACCATAATCCTTCATGTGTAGATTACCTCAACGATCATATGTAATCCAAATTGAGACACTAATAAAAATAAAAGGGGGATGCTAAAAAAATCAGGTTATTTATCTACTTTAGATATGTATATATTGCCAGAAAATTTGGTTTGTAAAATTATATAAAAAATTGGATATGTAAAATGGTTTTATTTTAAAAATCTTTCAAAATCATATATATGTTAGGACATGTTATGCTGAAAAAAAATAAGCATGAACTAATTCTGACTCAGGGAAAACAGGTGGCATAGCGATAGAGAGATAATCAAGAGATCAAAAATAACTCAGATATTATGTATAATACATAATAAATATAATATATATAGTTAGCTGCATGCCACAGTTATCCACTAGCACTGTCAACAATTCTGAAAAGTCTCACTTTATCAACAGCCCACTTCCATAGTCCCAAAGAAATATCTTGTTTTTCATAATGTGCTCTCAGACCACGAAGCACAGGAACTTCTCTTATAATCTACACATGCCTGCATGGTGAATCTGGTGCTTCATATGCTGATTTTCTGACAAGTTGGCTTTCTAAAAATAGATAACAACTTGTGAAGAGGATTCATCAGACCTTCTTCCTGGCAGGAGAGCTGGTGAGAAACAAAAATATAGCACTTCATTTCTGCCAAGATTGCTGCCATCCAAATACAGTCACTCTAGGTGACCACTGACTACTTTTGCTAATCCCTTCCTTCCTGGACCATATCTGGTTTTAACAAGGATAAATTTTTTGCCCCAGTCATAAGATTCCTCCAGATAAGTATTTCTAAAACTCAAATAATATAAACATACCTTTAAAAAAAAACCACAGACTTCCCATTTGTAAACCAAGTTATTTTGAATAACTAATTTTATATGAACATGTAAAATAGTAGGAATCAACTTCTTATGACTGTGACCATATACAACTATAAATCAAAATTTATCCACCAATGAATACAAATACAAACTAATAAGTTAATAATTCTAATTTGATGGCACATGTTTTTTGCTAAAACAAATATTCCTATTATAATATAAATTTGGTTTTGACTACTTCAAGGCAGTTTAGCAGTGAGGCAGGAATAGATTAGAAAAGCCCATGTGTTGTATGTAATCCTACAACTGCCCTTTCTCTTCTGGAATACTGGAAAATCTTTGCAAGAATGAATTTGAGAAGCATTGCTATAAAGTGTGTTGATTAAGAAAATCCCGACTCTTTCTTTTCTAGGGACATCTCTCTTTTCTGTCACATCCTAAGGACATTAAATGGACCTGAATGGC